CTCTGTCGGTCCACCTTTTAGTCTTTTCACCTTGATGCTGACACCAAGGTTCTGATGATAAACTCAGCATTGCAATGTCGATTCTTCTGAAGAGCTTTTCAGTAACAGTGCCTGAGTGTGAGTTTATATAAACCACTCAGGTTGAACTCCCAAATTGTGTTCAGTCATTTACAGCCTGCAGCTGGCACCTACACAAGGGGTAAAATCTGCTTGGAACTTCCTCCATTTTTTTCCTCCAGAGAGTTGGAAGGTGGCCCCTTCACATCTTACTGTTCCAACCCGCGCTGCACAGTCAAGTCAGTGAATTAGCTCATGGCATGGAAACAGCCCATCTGTAAACCACGAGGGCTGTTCGGTGCCGTCCTGCTCAACTCCTGGCTGGGGTTGACTCTCACTGAATTACCTTGTCTTAAGGGGGAAAGTTAAATGCAGCCTTCCATCAGTGCTCTGATGGGCTTCTGCTGAGGTCCTCTTGAAAAGCAGCATTGACAAGCTAGAAGAGAAAGAGACAGCATGTGTGGGCACCTCCAGTGCTCTGCTTACAGCTGTGTAAGCGTAGGATAATTTCAGCATTGACAAATGGTGTTTATCTTGCAGCATGAGGGATGCACAACAGTGATCTGGAATCACTCCTGGCCCTCTTGCTCACAGAAATCTCCCGAGTCGGAGACAGAAACACAGAATGATAGTAGAGCTTTCATTCCTTCTTCAGCCTGGAGAAGAGAAAGCTCCAGGGAGACCTTAGGAGCAGCTCCCAGAGCCTAAAGGGGGCTACAAGATACCTGGAGAGGGGCTTTGGACAAGGACAAAGGGAATGGCTTTAACCTCCCAGGGGGGAGATGAAGATGAGTCCATGTGGTCCAGCCCTCTGTCCAAAGTGGGGCCCGAGATGAGGTTAATCAACTTAGATGAGCAGTGGTGGAGAAGGGAAGGGTTTTGTTGCCTCCTGTCTCGCTGTAAATCATACATTTCTGATTGAAATCTTGCTTGCTGTACTCTGTGATTTTGGTATATAGTTCTGGGCTTTTTCTCTTCCTCCTTCAGGTTTGGCTCCTTCCAGTCTGTGTCCCTACGTGAAACCTGAGCAACATTAAGGGCTTTCAGTGCTTTTCTTGGTTTTTCCTTAAAGACTTGGTAAATCTGCATGTCTTGTGTTTCATCTCTTCCTATTATTAAAATGCAAAGCTAAGAATAACCTCAACTTTTCACTGTTTCAGTTTTCCTTTAGCATAACAATTTCAGTTCATTTGGTTTCCTTGCATTAAATAATGTAGGTCAGGGACTTTATTCTGCTCTGTAGGCTCTAAAGCTGTGCTGATCCAAGACTCTGTCAGTCCTGCAGAGATCACACCAGCATTCTAAGGGTTTCCTTCCAAAATCACATCCTTACGGTTGTTGTAGGTTGTGGAACAGTGTAATACAGAAAACTGACTAAATAAGACCTTAAGAGTATGCCACTACATAGTCCTTTATAATGGTTGCCTGTAACCTCCTGAAACCTCAGTAGTGTGCACATTTCTGAAGTACTTAGAATATTTTACTTTGGTTTTTCCAGTCATTCAATCAGATCTCTCCCTGTTCGCTTCCAGGTGATTGGGATAGTTCTAATCCCTCTTCGTCAAATGTAATATATGAAGAACAGTCACCATTATCTTCATCTTCACATTCTGCTTCCCCATCAGAAGTGTGTTATTTACCAGTACCAGGAGAAGCTTTAACAAGAGTTCAGCTGTCTGAGAAACTGGAACAAGCAAAGAACACTGTGCCTGAAAAGATAAGCACTTTAACTGAAAACCAGTTTGAGAGGAAGCCTCAGTCTTCTCCGCAGAGAACTAAGAACAGATGGGAATGTCCCTCCAGTCCCGGGTTTGAAATCACAAAAGGTGCTTTGGAAGTGAGGACGAGAAGAGACAGATCGGCAAGTCCAGAAAAGCTTGGGGCTGCTGAGAGCCACCCTCAGGCAGGATTCCACAGGAAAGGGGATCCTGAAAAACCCCATGGCAATCTCTCCCATAAACCTGAGGGTTCCAGAAAGAGTGAGAGTAAAGCCACAGAAACAGGGGGGAACAGAAAAGAGCATTCCAGTGGAAATCCAGGGAGATCTGCCAGTCCCCACAAGCATCTCGGTAAGCAAGGGAGCGTAGAAACGCTCAGCAGGTTACAGGGATACCAAGACAGAACAGCTGGTGGTGATAAAACTGCTGCTGAGCAGTTGAAAGGTGGAAGTGGTAAAACTGGAGTCACCTGGAAAGACACAAAGCAGAAAACTTGTGGGAAGAGGGAAGGGTGGTCTCCAGAGAGACAACACGCAGCATTTGACAGATACCATCTTCCATTCAGTGACTCTAGGAGAAACACACCTGAGGAGGAAAAAGTGAAGAAGTCAAGCTCTGGAGAGCCAAGTTCCAGCAGGTTCAAGGCTTCCAGCCTTTCCAATATTCCACTGCTTTCCATGGAGAAGCACAGAAGGCTGGAAACACAGGAGCCTGTTACACATGGAGAGAGACACATGGAGCTGCCCCATGAAACCAAAGATGATGGAGTTTCCAAATCTGAGAGTAGTTCTCCAGCCAAGAAAACACTGATCACTCCTGGACCTTGGAGGGTACCGAGTGCCTGTAAAGTCACCCCAGCAGCAGCTGGGGCTGAAAAACAGGCCTGACGCTTTTCTAGAACCTGTTTTAATCGACGTTTCTAATAGCGGTCATTTAAAAGCATCGTTTCTTTGCCCAAAATTGTCCTTTTTCTCCCAGAAACTGGTGAGAGGGTGGGAAGTATTTGATTTGTTCTTAAATTATCTCAGCTGCATGAAGGACCTTTTGGATTGCTTAAGTGAAACTTCCTAAGCTGCTGTCCCCTTGCCCCTTTGAAGGCGGTGTTCTGCTGCTCATCGTTGCACTGCTACGGCTTTCTCTGATAGTATTGTGAGGTTCTGAACAAATTATTTAATGCCTATATCGCAGATGTGGTCATGACTCACTCCTTGTTCTTGTGCCAAGTTACCCGCTGTATCCAGTCCCTCTAATCCCTTCTCCTATGTACTCCAGTCACGGGAAAGGCAAGTGTCTGCAGTGGGTGTTTGCTCCCGAGCATGCTGCATGTTTACACAAGGAAGCACCCATGTTCTTACTGGCTCAGTAAGACGATGGGTGAGTTGGTTCTGTTGAGTCCAGGGCAGCAACAAGCCACTGATGCTGTTCAGTTAAGAGGTTTTCTTACATTTTTATACCTGCCACAAAATCCTGTAAGTAAAAACTATATTTGACATAATCCCCGGTTTGTAGGTTTGCTTGTTACGACCATGGCAAAATGGCTTTGTTTTCTTGACTCCTCATGAACATCTCTGTGCACACAGCTGAAAATCCTGCTTTCCGTTAAGTGACAGCATCCCTTCAGGTTCACTTGTGGTACCCTCAGCGCGCTTGGTCAGCGTGAGCAGCGAGCGTGCATCTTCAGCCTCACTCTGCTGCTGTGTCCTGAATCCCAGAGTTCCTTCATGTATTGCCAGTTGGGAATGAGGTTTTTTTCCCTTCTGTATTGAAACCTGTTACCTTTAGGACAGAACCTGCCTGCGTGGACTGGACGTCTCCCATATTTTACTTTGAACGTGTGATCTGTTCTAAGAGCACTAAATAGGTGACAAACAGGGTACATGAGGCTCAGTATCTATTGTTTGGGCTAGAATACCTGTTTTAAAGAGAGGAGTGATGCCACCGGATGCATCAGTCCGACAGCTGGAAGAACAGCAGGCTGCATAAATGGAAGAGGTTTGTTTTATTCATCCTTTTAGTGATGATTTCCTGATGGGTTTTTAGGGGCTGTACAAAGCAGTAAGAGGAGCCCATTGCTGCAGTTTGGAGAAGGAAGTGTCAAAGGCCAAGCTTTATGTACTCACCTCAGAATTCAGACTAATAGGACTTGCTGTTTGAGTGAGTGAAGATCTCATCTGGGCTTTGAAACATGAAATGTTTCCTAAAGCGTAAGGAAGCACAGGGCATCAGTTCCAGGTGGAATTCTCCAGCAGTACAGATACTGCTCAAACAAAAGACTTTGGAAATGAAACCGGCTTTAAAGCCGAGCTGAACCGTGCTCTGCTGCCTGACCTCGGGTGATCCATTGAGAGTTGCTGTGTAGCATAATACGTACAACTGCCCCCCTTGGGGGAGTATGACTGTGAAGATATTGAATCCTTTGAAGTAGCCTGTGTAGATATTAACCATGTATTCTTATCCAGAGATTCTGTTCTACGTGGAGTCGTATGCACTTGCCCTGACCACCGAGCACAGTCACAAATTCAGACATTGAATACCAAGGTGACTTAACACCACCAAAACCCTCTCCCTGTCATGACCACCTCTTTTTTCTGTTACTGTGACCTGATTTAGTGTCCTCCTTGTGTGTGATTCCTCCTTCCATGGAACTTGTACCCGTTCCGACTGTATCAGATGACTTAGCGACGTGGCCTTGGAATGCTACGCAATGTATGGATGTACTGGGTGTAAATGTTTATATATTGTACAGCACCTTTATACATACTTCTGAGGTTCTGCCTAGAGAGAGACCTGTAAATCGCTCATTATTTTTTATATAGATATTAAAAAGAAACTCCAGTTCCTGGCCTCTTGGATCTGCACTGTATAAAATAGGTTCCTGGTTGACTTTCAGTGGCGTGATACCTTAAACAGCTGCATCCGTGACCCAGGTCTTTCCTACAACCACCGTGCTCTTCCAGAAAACAAATGCAGTTTGTTCCTGGAAGTTTCCCTGACTCCCTGTTCAAATACCAGAGGTGTTACAAGTCGTAGAGAAACGGTTGTTACTGCTGCAGCCCTTGTACTGGAGGTTTACTTGTACATTTTGATGTATGAAATTGTCATCTCCTTTTACCTCTTCACACCTGCTCCTTGTACAGAAAATCTTTGTAAACAACTTGATGCACCACCAGAAGTTCTTCTGCCATCTCCCCCCTTCTGTGAAAGAATGAAGCTATGAACAGTTCCTCCGGTTTTTGCTTGGTTTATTAATAATAAATAGAAGGGATTAGAGCCAGTTAAGGGAAATGTGGCTTTAAGAGATACCCTGAAAACGTTCTGTTTCCCCCCCGTGCCCTTCCCAAGCATTAACCTGCTCGTGAGGAGGAAGCCTGTGCCGTGTCTCCTCCTCTGAACTGATCCTCCCTGCAGCTTTCGCCCCTTGCGTGCACCAGCGCAGCACAGACCTGCAGCAGCTTCTCCCACCACCACCAGAACAAGACATGACAGGGAATGAACACAGCAGAATGCTCTACAGTGATAAAGGCTTTACCTATCGGTTGTGCTAGAGCCCTGTTCTCATGTAACTAAGGTTGGCAAAAAGCGGGCATTGTTCAGTTGCACAAGCCCCAGCATCAGCCAAGGGGCATGAATCTGTTGCTGTCTGGTTGTCAGCATGGAAGCAGAATTCATCTTGTGCAGACCACATTCCAGTGCCTGCTGCAGCAGTTCAGGAGAGAGGCAGGGCCTCAAGCACACTGAGCTTAGAAGGAAAGAAACGCTCTTCAGCACAGTCAGGTAAATGCAGCTGGGCATAGTCTGAGAGAGCACCGGAGGATGCTCAAACAGATGAACCTCAGTGTAGCTCCAGAGCTCTCCAACAGGACGGTGCTCACCAGGACGAGGGCTGGCCCTTCATGTCACATGCAGAGAACAAGGCACCTGTGGCCCCATCACTGTCCCTCCACCCAGAGCTCAGGGCACTCACATTGCTGTAGGTGGCCTATGCCCCACGCAGGCTGGGCCCAGGTCTGCTCTTTGCAGCGCAGCTCCTCCAGTCTGACCCCGTTAACTCCGTTCTGCTGTGTGCGTGTGCCACAGGGTGACCAGTTCACTCTGTCTGTTGCAGAACACGAAAGCAGAGGAAGAACCTTTGATACTTACACTGAGAACCTGTTTAAAACCTGCAGCTGGAGAGCACCTCTGCATTCACCCAGGCTCTTGGCTCTCTTCTCTGGTGGGGCTGTCAGGTGGAGACGGCCGAGTGCCGATGTCCGCTCAGTTCATGGTTTAATTTTCCATAACTGAAAAGAGATCGTGAGCGTGAGTCTGGGTCTGAAAGCTGCTGGCCCGAGGGGGTTTCAGCTGCAGGTAAGAGTCCCTCTCCTTGCCCAGCCTGTGCTGAATGCTCCAGTTCAAGTGTGAGCCACACGAGGACTGTGTTGTCATTGCAAAGGGAGCGACACACGAGTCCAGTGGCATTAAGTGGGCACCACAGACCTGAACAGGGCTGGAATTTAACTCATCCTCGTCCTTCCCCCCCCCCCAGAGCTGGCTCAGGGAGCTGGGGGTACAGGGTCTGTTCTCTGAACTGCTCCATAGCAGGAGCCTAATTCAAACCCCAACCTTCCTGCTGGGGCGGAGGAACGTGTCTCTGGCACAAGTGATGCATTCAGCTGGGTCAGAGCTATACTTACTCTGATGTTGAATCCTAGAAGATCACTTATAACACCTGAGACAGCAGAGAGTATTACAACCCGGGTTATGTTGTAAATTAGTGGGTTCATGGTCAGCCCATAGAGCCTGAATGGAGTATCCAGCTCCTGTGGAGACCAGGAAAAAAGTCCATTAGCATTTATCCGCATCAGAAGGAATTAATCCTCTGACTCTTAGCTTAATACCAGCTCCCTGGCAGCCCTGCCAACCATGCACTGCCTCCATGTCCTTTCTTAAATGTACATACAGAAACTGCCCCTCTCTTCCAGGCCTCCCAGCTCAAAGGCATTTTCTAACTGCTGAATCTGAGGAGGCTCCTTTGCCACTCTGCTTGTGTCGTAACAGCTTGATCCAAAGGGCTGCAGAATCTGCCTGGGCTAATTTATGTGACTCAGACTCTGCTCTTTCCCAAATACCTACTCTGCTGCTCTCAACAAGCTTCAATATTGAAGCTGCTGAAGGAATCTGACTTCAAGCAATAAGGAAAGATGCTGTGTTCATACGAGCCTCTCCTCTCACTGATCTAAGATGCAGCAAGCCACCACTAATCAAATGGTTGCAGGACAAATCAACCACACTGGTCCTGTATTGCCTGAACTTCTGTTTTAGAAGACGGGTTGAGAGAGCTGGGCTTGAGAAGGCTCCTGAAGGGGAGACCTTAGAGCAGCTCCAGTGCCTGAAGGGGCTGCAGGAAAGCTGGAGAGGGGCTTGGGACAAGGGATGTAGGGACAGGCCAAGGGGAATGGCTTTAACCTGCCAGAGGGGAGACTGAGATGAGCTCTTAGGCAGAAGCTCTTCCCTGTGAGGGTGCTGAGGCGCTGGCACAGGGTGCCCAGAGAAGCTGTGGCTGCCCCATCCCTGGCAGTGTTCAAGGCCAGGTTGGACACAGGGGCTTGGAGCAAGCTGCTCTATGGAAGGGGTCCCTGCCCGTGGCAGGGCTTGGAGCTGGAGGAGCTTTAAGGTCCCTTCCAACCCAAACTATTCTAGGATTCTAGGAACTTGCCTTAGCAAGGACAAGAGAAATGGGAAGAGGAAAACCAGGCAGTGTCTTTAGTCATAAAAAACCCCGGTTTTGGGGAGAGCAGCAGCTCACCTTCAGTAGCTTTGTGGATAGCTTCAAAACGTTGTTTACCAGAGACAGCTGCTCTTTCTTGTTTGGCTTCTTCTCCATCTTGAGGTATAAGTTTATCTGTGACAGACACGTTACAGATCAGATGCTAATACTCCAGCAATAGCTCCCAAGTGATTCCTAACGGTGGGAACTGGAGCTGCTTTTGCAGTCTGTTGCCACTGCTGAAGATGTGATGCAGCCACAGACAGGCATTCAGCAGTGATCATATTCTCTTTGTGACTGATAGGGCACATGTTAACCCAGAGCCAAAACTCAGCCAGAGTCTTAGCTGTTGGGTCTGTCCAAAGCTTTGCCAGCTCGTCCCTCCCCAGCTGCACAGAGCTTTAGTCCAGCACAGGGGTTAAGTTCTAATTAAACTTCAATTTAAGGTTTCTTTTAAGCTGGTTTGAAACACAATGATTCTATCTAAACATGCCACAAAAGCAAAGGGAAAACCACCTAAACAGAGATACCTGCTCCGTGAGCAAGATGGAAATGTTGCTGTATTTCTTATTGGTTTCAGAGCCCAAAGATGCCAGGCGCAGTAAAAAGAGCAGAAGTGCTGCCTCCCAGATGAGGAACTCCCAGTTGTAAGCTGCATTCAGAAATGTTTTGTGACCCTTAAGAACCTGCAATGGGAAAGGTAACAAGGAACATGCCTGTCCTGAGGAAAAGTGCCAAAGCAATACCCCTGCTCCCCTTCTGAGCAGAGATCCATGCCCTGGAGCTACTGAACCCTTTCCCCTTGGAGTGCAATTCACCCCTGCAACAGGCTACAGTAAAAGGTCTTGTTTCCAACCTGGCTTTAGCGTGGAGTTCTGATCTTTTTCTTTGTGCTTAGAACAGGACACTTGGTTCTTTCCTCCCTCTTGCCAGTTAATGGGCAATAAATGGTCTTTCACCTGTGCTTGTCCCAGGGGCAAGCCTCAGACCAGCCCAGCCAGGCTGCACTGATCCTGCCTTCCCCAGGATGTGTTTGCTGGGTCTGTCATTACCTCCCCCCAGAAAGCTGTGGCTTACAAGAAGCCATCACAGCAGAGGCAGTAACTCCTGACCATCAACCTCACTGCTACCACAACGGTGGTGCCGTGGTAGCAAGAACTTGCCTGAACAATCTAATGGATCTCTTGTCAAAATCAAAGAAACCAAGAAACTACTCCAATAATAACACTGCTTACTCCAACAGGAGGCTTAGTGAAGTGTAAGTGACAGCTATGGACCTGCTTCTCAGCAGCTGGTTAAAGAAAGGGCTGCAGTCAGCCCTCTTCAGTACCATGCCCTGTGAACACTTGATACCGGGGCAGAGTCCTCTCCTTCATGCACAAAAGCCAATTATGTCCTTAATGATTATAAACCCCCAGACTTTCCTCTGCAGACAGAGAATTCATATCTGAACAGAGAGAAATAACACCTAACCATAGAGGATTACTGTCCACTACCAACTAAACAATACAAAGCTTTTCAAAACACAACCCACTGCATTATTCTGGTGACAAACAGCTCCAGTTCAAGCACTTTGAAGGCTGGCAAAAGAAAAGCCTCCAGTAATTTGGGGGTTTCCCCCCTACTTCCTTAAAGGAAAAGGTTCCACTCTCACCTGGGCGCAGCATATAAACGCGATGGAAAGAGCCAGTAAAAAGATTGAGGACACAACAACATCCACGGAGCGCTGGGGGCCTCGCCTCTGCCAAAACAAAGACACCGAGTCAGGGCTGAGAGGGATGTGGAGCTCTGAGGTGCAAGCTCACCACAAAGAGCTCTGCGTGTGCAGTGACTCAAGCAGTGCTGCCAGGGACAGCAAAGAGCCCGTACTGAGAGCCTCACTTGTGCTCTCTGTGACCACCAAATCCTGGCTCGGAACTCACCTTTAGGTAGGACCGAAGGGATAACCAGATCTTAATGTTTTCTACCTTCTTGAGTCTGAAGTGAGGGATTTCGTATTTCCTGGCTTTCCGAGCGGATGTGATGTGACTAAAAAGCTTGGCAAACAAAAACCTCTGCGAATTCAAACCGAAAACATACACAACATCAATCAGTCTAAGCCGAACGAGATCGCTTGGGATCGCTTAGTGGTAACTGCCAGGAAAGGTTGTGGCACCTTGGGAAAGCTTAACAGGGGCCCTTGGGGCCTCTCCAGTCGCTGTGGACTGGGCTTGGAACAACCCAGTCTAGTGGAAGGTGCTCCTGCCCGTGGCAGGGGGCTGGAGCTGGATGAGCTTTAAGGTCCCTTCCAACCCTAAATCTCATGGACCTGTTACCAGCTTTGACACCACAGCTTGCTGAGACACACTCGTCTTGCCAGCATCTTCAACAGCAGCACGGTTTGGGTAGAACACCCACGCCTGGGTTCATGATAGGCAACAGGACGTTTAAACCCACCTGTTTATACGTTCGCTCCGCAACACACATCATGAAGAAGAACATCCACGTTAAGCAAAGTCTCTCAAGGAAGTTGATTGCAGACAAAACAATGACCGGAGTGCTGGCGGGTGCCCCGCAGAAGATGTGCAGGAGCTCCTTTAGAGAAATGGAGCAGAGCTGCTCCAGGTTGTCTGTGCGGAAGAGTCTGTAGAGGAATGGTAGGAACGCTAGGCCGATGGTGAGGATGTTTCCCAGCATTTGATAGCCCACTCCTTGCTGGTAAGCATTGACCTGGCATGCAGGAACAAAACCAGGATGATTTACATGTGTTTTGCGTCAAGGAGAAGGCATGCTGCTGTGGCAGAATTGACTCAATCAAGGATTCAGTTCCCCTTCTCTTCAAAGGACATAGCCTAAAATAATTCCATCTGTTTCATTCCAAAACCAGCAACAATCAGTCAGTAAATCATAAAACCACCACCTTGAGCCCGCTGCAGAGACACAGCCAACAGCAATCAGCACTCATTGAAAAGAAAGAGGGGAGACTGAGCTGAGCTCTTAGGCAGAAGCTCTTCCCTGTGAGGGTGCTGAGGCGCTGGCACAGGGTGCCCAGAGAAGCTGTGGCTGCCCCATCCCTGGCAGTGTTCAAGGCCAGGTTGGACACAGGGGCTTGGAGCAAGCTGCTCTAGTGGAAGGGGTCCCTGCCCACGTTGGAACTGGATGAACTTTAAGGTCCCTTCCAACCCAAACCTGTCTGGGATTCATTAGCCTTCAACAGGACCTCCTCAGCTTTGGTTTGTGCATTTTTTAAGTTAAGAACATGCAGAACTGTATTGGCCATTGAGAAAGGAGCACTTCTATCCTGCACTTCACATCTGCACGTAAAGATTGTCAGGTTTGCTGGTGGTTACTTTTTAGTGCGAGGGAGAGGTTGCAATGCTCTGAAGCCCTCTTACCCTACTCATGATAATCCCACTGATCTCCAGCACAGACATGTCCACCTTCTTGCAGTCATTCCCTTCCCAGATTAGCGCACTCACTTTTGCAGATGCTGGACTTGTATTCTGCAGCCAAAACAAATGGTTCTATAAAACAGAAAAGCATGCAAGAGGTGCATCATCATTTCTGTCCCACTGTTACATAATGCTTCTTCCTAGGAAGTGTTTAGATTGAGAGGGGAGATTCCCAATTTGTCTTTGGGTGAAATACTTTGCTTTAGGTTTAGCAGTTGTCAGGATAACAGCAGCAGGGAGCTGATCATTGATGCTACTTAGATCAGCACAGACATCCAGGTGATTAAAACAGCTGACAGGGGACAGGGTGGGCTCATCCAGCATTAGGCTGCTCCCATTACACCAGCAGCACTCAGATGGGTCTTTCATATTACCTGGGCATACAGGGGGAAGGGGGGGGTGTGGAATCTTCCACAGCATTCTCAGCTGCTGGGCACGAACCAACAAACCTGCTGGAAAACATCTTCCTTGGCATCCCGCCGGGGATCCCGCACAGTGATCTCCTCGCTGTCGCTGGTGCAGGACGAGCGGCACTCGGGGCCGTGGAGCAGATCATCCCAGAGCATGTCTTCTGTCTCCGAGTCATGGCGAGTGCTTTCGGAGTCCCTGCGGCCCACGCTGCAGCTCCGGGATCCCACATGAACGCAGGACCTCAAATCCTATGAGGAAAAGCAAACTTCACCCAGTGCACACCCAATCTGCAGAACCAGCTTCCCAAACTGGCATCCGGGACAGCTGAAAACTGCCCTGAAGTCACACAGGGAGCATTAATTCCCCAACTTGACAATATCAAAACTGACTCATTCATTCTAATGCAAAAGTTTTCTGACTTTCACATAAGCCATTTTAACATTTCATTTCTATTTCAGATTTATGGATTTTTAGATCTATCATTTGATAGCCTATATATATATATATCTATTTCATCTTCAGGTGGTGGGAGTGGCAATGGGCAAGATAAAGTAAGGAAGTGAATGCATATATGTGACAGAATCGATTGATTTCCACTGTTTAAAATCAAGATTTATTACAGTTACAACACAGAGCTGCCTCCCAAACCACAAGAGCAACTGCAGGGATTCAAACCAAGCAATTAGAGGCAGCTTGGCCTAAACTGTGCTGCCAAGAGGGACTTTTTGGGTTGTTTGGCTGGTTTCGTTAAACAGAGTGTTATAGCCCCAATGGGGAACAAAGTTTATGAAGCTGCAAACAAGCAGGGAGGCCACACCTTATATATGAAGATGCTGAAGTGCTGTTGTTTAATATTGGTCTGTTCTGATGGGGAGGACAGCCCTGCACTGTCCATGCTCAGTAAAGCTCTGACTCTTGTATTTATAGCCATACCTGACCGTATAATGTGGATTCTAGTTCAGATTCCATGACGCTATCCGAGTCTCTGGTATTTTTCAGGGCTTCCTTGACCTGCCAAAACCAAAGGAAGACTTATTATCCATAGCAAAAAACACGGTGGAAAATGGCATCAATTCAACGTGGGTACCTGTGAGACAGCCTGGTTCAGAGAAACAAGAGGCCTCTCTTTCTTCTCCTCACAGCTGTTGTCACTGGAAGCCCCTTCTAGATTCTGGCGTAACAAGATCCGTTGTGCCATTGCTTCAGCCTCCTCCTCGCTCGAAAGCTCATCAGAAACTCCACCTCTGTTGGTGCAGTCATCCTAGAAACACAGCAGTCAAAGTAAGACCGAGGCACTGCTAAAGAACCAGCCCGGACTGCATCACTTCAAAGGTTCAAAGCCATTGCTGCTGCGACACTGCTGCACCCAGTAATCTCTTGTTCCCTGCAAAAGCCAGCAGATGATCTCCACAGAAGATGCAGAAACGGAATCCAACTCGGCATCACAGGGACATCCCAAATTTCAACTCGTTACCCCTGTCTTACCACAGAGGTAATGAGGGAATCATGGTGGGGTGGAGCTGGATTTGGGACATGGGTGGGAAGTGGAGAGGGCAGCAGCAGCAGCTCTTAGCAATGCCTTACCAGCAAACTTAAGCCCAGGAAAAGGGATGCATCTATAAGCTGCTGGCTAGCAGACCAGAAATCATAAGCTGTGTCCCTCCACACCCAGCTCTGCTCCTCTCCAAATGCCTGGAAGCAGGAGTGTACATGGCACAGCACTGTGGTGCTCTGCAGAGCTTCTAATCCAAGTTCTTCCTGTGGGAGCTGACACCTTACAACTCAAAGGAGTCCCAGAAGTAACTCCACAAAGCTTTATATTGTAGGGATTCAAAGAGAGGTCACCGTGCTTTAGCTCTCTTCACAAAGAATATTTCAGTCTTTACTTTCCTGCCTCCCACTGAGAGGTTACTGCAGGGAACCATTTGCAAGGCAAATTATTTTCCAGAAGTGCTTTTGAAAAATGGCTCATTTATTATCATTAATCTTTATCTTAACGAAGATCAGAATCTTCTTTAACTGAACATCTTGGGAGCAGAAGGCTCCGCAACCAACGAGCACTTTGGCAATACAGGCATTTTCCAGGGTACTTGACTCTTGTGCTGACTGACAGTAAAGTGTCAGCATCACGTCAGCTGCTCGGTCAAGAAGGAGAAAGGGGTTTTAGGTTTCCTATAAGCAAGCAAAGATCAGTAGAAGAAGGCTGTATCAAACCACACAGTTAAATATCAACATGTTTTGGGGCACATACAGAATATACTGAAACCTGTGACTCTGAATGGCTCTTTCCTGCAGGTACCTGATGGCTCTTTTCCCCATCAGAAAGCTTCTTTTTCTCTTTGAAGTGCAGCAGCCTGTATTCAGACCTGGCAGGTCTGTGTTTAATGCCATTATTGACACCATTCACACCATTCTCTGTCTCAGTCCCTTTCTCAGCTACCAACTTCACTCTTCTAATCCTAAGAGAGAAAATACAATTAAATGCTTTTATGTCAGAGAGAAACTCTTTGAGGAAAGCACCATGCTCTCTTTCACTTGCCACTGAGGTACAACATGAAACAATACAGCTGAGGGAATAGGTAATTGTCTGCTGCTGACAGGCTCTTTGTGTCCTGATTCTGTTCAAGGGACTTGTATCTGCTTCACTCTCACTGGATGCTGCTTTTCTAACTCTAATAGTACCTGAAAACTTCTAAACCCAGAGGGAAATCTTTGCTTATTATTATTTAGAAAGAAAGAAGTGCAAATCAGAAGACAAAAAATCCTTGTCAAAAGAAAGGACCTCTCTCATCCAGAAACTCAGCTGAGAAAACAGTAGAAGACAGTAAAACACTATCCCAAACAACCTATCCTCCTTGTCCTTGAGTTACTTTTACAGAAGGGAAGGTGGGAAGCAGGATGTCTATCCAAGCAACTCAAACTAGAAGGCACAATTGCTCCTGGAAATCAGCTGAAACAGTAATTTGAGCACAAGCATTCGAGCCAGGTCACAGAAATAAGCTCTGTCACTTCCTCTGCTCATCGAACACTCAATTTAGCTACAGTGTGAGATAGGGTCTGATCTCCTAATAAGGACACAATAAAAATTCATGAGGATTCAGCCTCCTACAATAAATGCTTTGAGCTCAGAACTAACCGGCAGCCTGTGGGGACGCCAGTGACAGCACACATTCTGTCTTCACTACCCAGGCATCAAACGGTTTGCAGTGTCAGACATGCAACAAACCCGGTGAAGATCACATACCTCCTTCGGAAAAGCACACTAACTAGATTATTAAGAATGGATGCAGGCTCTGACTGCTCTTCTTTCCTGGTTTTGTCAGGAGAAGACCAACTGTTGCCATCGACACCCCCAGATTTGCGTAACTTCCTGAGTTTTGAGAAAAGGAGAATTAAATTTGCATAGCAAGCTGCTTGGAGGTCATTCTCAAAAGATCTGAATCAGCTTTGGACAGCTTTTCAGATGCTATTTTTCTTCAGTCATGCAGACAGAATGCTTGGTTCCAAATTAAGTAAAATGTTATTTGGATGAACTGAAGTTATGCACATACCCACAGGACATCGGTGTATCACTAGCAAAAGATGCAACTAGCATCCTGGACACAATCTTTGCTGTAGAACTCTATCCACGTCCATCATCCTGTGTTCAACTACATTGCACCAGTGTTTAAATTGAGTCAGACACCTAACAGTTAAATATCTAGCAGATGGACTGTAACATCTCCTACACGAACAAAATCCATCACAGTCATCGAAGGAGGTGATCCTGCCCCTCTACTCTGCTCTCAGGAGACCTCACTTGGAGCACTGTGTGCAGTTCTGGTGTCCTCAACATAAAAAGGACATGGAGCTGTTGGAACAAGTCCAGAGGAGGCCACGAGGGTGATCAGGGACTGGAGCACCTCCTGTATGAAGACAGGCTGAGAAAGTTGGGGCTGTTCAGCCTGGAGAAGAGAAGCTGCGTGGAGACCTCAGAGCAGCTTCCAGCGTCTGAAGGAGGCCTGTAGGGATGTTGGGGAGGGACTCTTCATTAGGGACTGCAGTGACAGGACAAGGGGTAACGGGTTCAAACTGAAACAGGGGAAGTTTAGATTGGATATAAGGAAGAAGTTCTTTACTGTGAGGGTGGTGAGGCACTGGAATGGGTTGCCCAGGGAGGTTGTGAATGCTCCATCCCTGGTGGTGTTCAAGGCCACGTTGGACAGAGCCTTGGATGAAATGGTTTAGTGTGAGGTGTCCCTGCCCATGGCAGGGAGTTTGGAACTGGATGATCTTCAGGTCCTTTCCAACCCTGACTATTCTATGATTCTATCTCTGTCCTGTTTCTCTGTTCTCAGTCCACATCAGCAATTCCCTGCAGTTCACACCAAAGCAGGACACCAGACTGGTTTGCCTTTCTGCACAGAATGCCCCCCTCTGGCCACAAAGAAAAGACATTTAAAAGGCTGTGTCAGAAAGAAACTTCTACTGACAACTGAAGAAGACCTGTCACAGCCTGGTAAACCTGCACTATTTGCCTGGGTTATGAGAAGATTATGACCAAGACAGAAAAGACACATTAATGGTTAAATGACCGATTTACATAGAAATAGAAGGTATTGACCCATTTACTTCCACCCTGAGCAAGCCACAAGATGACCCTGTCATCCCACTCACCTCCTCCTCCTGCTGAGCCCGTTGCTTCCTGAAGGTCTATTGATCTGGGTAGACACTATTTGACAGTGCACAGTTCCCATCAGCAACATAAGGCACATTGGTCCCATGACTTCACTTGCGTTCACCACAGGCATCATGAAATACAACACAACTGCTATGACTGAAAGGGAGAACATGGTATCAGATGCAAAAGAGCGTGGCCAGTCCCTCTGTCTGCTGCCTTTAACAGTTTTTCTGTATGTTATTGGTATTTCTGCAAACACCAGTGCCACACATCCTGACACCTACATTAAGCAGGTTGCAGATCCTGATGCTTTAGGTGACAGGCTACAAACTGATGCCACGTTCCTTGCAGAGAAAGGACTGTGGCACAGGCTGCTACCAGCCCTTACCTTGCATAACATAGAGCACCAGAAGCCACATAAAAATACGTTGGGAAGTGACCTGTATCCACCACTGGCTGAATAATGGGAAAAATACAACTCGCACGATTCCCTTCCGAGTTAGTGACGTCCAGGGAATTTCAGGCTTGGCTTTAGCAAACGTAGAGCCTTGGGATTAAAGGAAAAACAAGTGAATCACAGGAATTTTTGTACTTATGGCTTGCCCAGGGCAGGGGGGGGTGGAACTGGATGATCTTAAGGTCCTTTCCAACCCTAACTATTCTATGACTTCCTCTTTAGCCAAGGGCAAACCCTGCAGTTCAGAGAGGTGACAGCAGCCCAGCCTCAGGCACTCGTCCAACACGCAGGGCTAAAAGCAGCCCTGGCTGCTGCCCCTTCCCCTCCCTACCCCAACCTGCTCTCACCAACTCCCTGCATCCCTCCTGCCTCTGCTTTCAGGCTTCCATTGCTCCTTTTAGACTGGTGCTGGCGAGCACCGGGCACTTTCTCAATGCTGAGATCTGGGGCTTCGGTGCTGCTGCTGCAGCCAAAACAGTTTAGTGCGAGGTGTCCCTGCCCACGGCAGGGGGGTTGGAACTGGATGAACTTCAGGTCCTTTCCAACCCTAACTATTCTATGATTCTATGACTCATGCCCCAGACAAGCACTTAATGGCTCCAGAGGAGGTGCCGGCTGCCCTGCACCAGGCTGTGATGCGGTAACGGCTGTGTGGGGATGCCAAAACCCTGCATTTCTCACCTCTGATTAAATCCACGTCGATCAGATCAGGCTGAATGTGACCCTTCTTCTTAGGCTTGCTTTTTAAGCCCTAAGAAAACGAAAACAAAGGCCAGTTACCGGCTGCGAGGAGAGCCGAACCCGGGCTGCGGGAGCCGCCGTTACCTTCATCTCGGTGTGCTCGATGGACTTCTCCCATATCTGCTGGTCGTAGGCCCCGATCTGGAAGAAGAGGAGGCTGAGGGCACGGCCGGGCCCGCGCCCGCCCTCCCCGCTCCGCACTCACCTTCTTCTGGTACCAGGAGATGGCATCCCTGTCGGGAGCGGCCATGGGGGGGGGGCGGCAGGGCCTGCTCCCGGTACCGGTACCAGCCCCGGTGCCAGCCCCAGCCCCAGCCCCTGTTGCCCTGGAGACCGCCGCTCGACTGCTTCCGCCTGCCCTCGGCTCGGCTCGGCTCGGCCCGCCCCGCGCAGGCAGCACAAGCCGAGCGCCGAGCCCGGCTCCCGCGGCGAACAGAGGGAGGCAAGCGGGTAAAGGACAAAAATCAGACTTTGTTTATTAAAAAAATACTTTACAGGAAAAAAAATTCTATGCATTCCGTCGGCCTATTTGACAAAGAAACGGCGGAACAGCTCGAGACCCGGGTACAGGCGGCTACGGACACAAATGCGCTGCGTTACTCACGGAGAGGCCCGAGCGGAAGCGCTCGCTCCTGGCAATAAATACCATAAGGCCGCACAAAGCAAACAGGCTTCCAGGCAATGGTCCGCGTCCTCTGGAGGCAGAGACCGCCGATAAATTAAAACCACAGAAACAAAACGTAAAAATCGTAGCTGCCCATCAAAATCAAATTAAAAAAAAAAAAAAACACAAAAAAACAGCAACACAGAAGTCTCTTTACACGTTGTACAAAGAAAGCAAAGGGGTTTAGGGGTTCCTCCGAGCCCCACGGACACCTCCTCGCCCCCGTGCCAGGGCCCATGGGTGCTGTGCTATGGGGAGCGTCACACCCAGTGGGGTTTGGGGAGCAGAACCAAGCCGTCCCCTCCTCTCGCACCCCTTGAGCTGGTCCCCAAGCTGCCAACGCTTTGCACTCCATGGAAACCACAATTCCAGGGTTTATTACTGGGTTGGTTGAGACCTGGCAAGAGGAGGCAGGGCCAGATGAGGGCTCATGCCCATGGGAAAGCTCCATCAATCTGCCTTGTCCAGGGGAACTAAAGCGTAACAGCAGGGAAGGTGAAGAGCACAGCAGAGAGCCCTTTTCTGTATGGCAACATCTACACCTGTGGCAAATGGTGATTAGAAATCCCCTGAGAACACTGCACCGAGTGTCCCACCTTCCTGGAAGAGCACGTGTCAAGGATCTGCTCAAACTGACTCGTGGCGTGGCCAAAGGAGAGAGGAAAGGGAAGCTAACAGGTATCTCATCTTTAAACTGCATTTTGTTAGCCCCCTTCTAGCCCTGCTGAGTCACTTGCCCTTATCCCTAGTGATGTTTTCCACCAACAGCCCTTTACCTCACAGCCTAAGCCTGAGTTCACACATCCAAGCCAATGGATCTCAACACAGGGCACTTGGTCACTCAGCAGTTGTCTCCAGCATAAAGCAGGAGGGTTTCCCACTCCCCAGCCTCACACACACATCCCGGGGCAAAGAGTTGTAACTGGAGAACTGAGGATTTACAGGATCCATGTTCACAAACTGGTCTGCATCTACCTGGGTAGGACGAAGAACAAGCCATGACGTTTGCCAGAGTTTGATTATCTCATTACACAGGCTGTTGTATGACATCTTAGAGAACAGGCAGCTTTTTAACACCAGAGAGATCAGAAACAGTTACTTGGACCTATCCAGAGATTTGTTCTGCTCAGCAAACACTAAGTGGCCTGAACTGATTACTTCATTTCTAAACAGCTTATGAAAAATCAGTATAGCACAGGTCTGGTTCTGGGAAAACATGCATCTTTCACAGAGGCATTGTTCTAATTCTGCTCTGTTGTTTTCAGTGCAGTTGAAGTCACCTTGAAACACCTTGTCTAGCTGTAGTAATCAGCTTCAGAAGCAACCCCTCTCATACTTTACATCCAGAACTGAGGTGGAGTTTGAAATGTCGTCTTGGTTAAAGTGTACCAAAGCTGATAACGTAAGTTAGGTAATAGATTCTTAGCAAGTTTCCTCCTCTCTTAAGCATGCTAGAACAGCATCAGCAACAGTCAAAACATTTGAAGATATATTTCTGTATTTATATCTGACATTAGATATTAAGTTAGTAAGTAAATGGAACCGAAAGAGAGCACGATGCTACCAGTCATGTCCCTCCATCCAAAGAGGTAAGTCAGAGCAGTTTATTTCAAGGCTGTAGTCACAGATTTCACTAAACCTACAGTTTTGAAAGCAACATGAGCCACTCTGGTCTTCTTCCTTCATCCACTGGGAAACATGCTGTAAGAGTTTACAGAGAACTTCCAAATTAATTCCCTCTCCATCCTGTTTCAACTCTCACTATAAGACAGACAAGTTGGTGTATGGGGGCTCTTAATCTGTTTATTCTTCCTTTAAAGTGATGTTTGCAGACTCGCTGTGGGATCTGCAGATGTGTCGGTTCCTGAGTGGTTGTAATGCAGTGCTGGCTGTCAACAAACGGCCACCGAGCTGATGCACCTCTACTGACATGAGCAAAGAACAGCACATGTGAGAAGTGAAATGGGCACTTGGAAGACTAGCAGACTTCAGAAAAAGGAAAGAACACCCTTGGATAATGCGATCTTTGAAGGTGGAGGATGAACTGAAACCGCTATTGCCTGTGAGGAATTTTACTTTGCACAACCCTTAAAGCTATGAAATTCCTCTCAACATAAAAAGTGGAAAAAACCCACCAGAGAACAGACGGCTCATTTATGAACCGGTCTGGGTCATCTAGAATTTCTGCTAAGATTAAATTACACCCCTGCATGAATCACATTACTTTTTATCATAAAAGCTCTCCATTCTAACACCTTATTTACACAGATTACTAAACAAGTCACTACCACTTCAATCTGTAAATTAGTTTTAAATTGAAATATTTCCTAGTCCTCATTTTGTACCGAAGACAATACATACATACACATAAGGAGTAATACAGGTTCTAACTAATCACTGCAGTATCTTCTGATTATTTTTCTATCAGTTTAAAATAGTGACCTCTACACTGAGGTGCTAATATGTATATAAAAGCCTACACAAACAATATTGCACAAAGTAAGATTTATAATAGAGTAACATATTTTAGAGACCCTTATAAAGAGAAGAGTAATAATTGATATTAAAAAGATGCATCCAGAACTAACACAGCATCTTTGCTTTTGTCTAGTCTAACATAGTGTTTCAAATCTTTCCTACCCCAGTGAGGATTAGAACAAATAAAGTTATCTGGAGACAGCTTAAGTTGCACCAAAACCCAACTTGTACTCTAAATGTGGGGAGGGAGAAGGGAGGGAAGAAAGGGACAGGACTTTTCCTTCTGATGACTGGAAAGGGTGGTAGTAAATGGAGTGAGTGAAAGTCAAGTACAGATTACACGGTAACATCCAGAAATATTGAAAGATCAGTTAAAAACCATTGCTAGCTGACACTCTACACATTTAGCATGTGCCACTGATTTTTCCACAGTACCTGGGCACCCAGAAGCTACTCATGGAAAAAGCAGTTCAATGCCACAAGACTTTTTATTGTGAAAGAGTAATACAGAACTTCCTGGCATATGGACAGCCGCACTGTGTAAGTCAGTTACCAACTCAACGCTATTAAGTGCATCAGTACAAGGGAAAGTGTGATTTCATTGGACACATTACGACCTGACCAAAACAAGCTGCCAAGTTGGTTAGTATTTTAAAGCCTTAAAGTGCTCGAAGATAGCAGTTTCCTCCACAAGACTACCAATAAGTTCTTTAATTTTGACACTAGTATTAATCATGTTCAGGGAAGATGGATTTTGGAAGCAAAACCCTCACACCAAACAACATAAGCAGTGCTATGAGAAGTGTTAGGTCAGTAAGTCATTGCATTTCAACAGGATCAGACACTTGCTTCAGTTAATTTTACTGTAAGAAATAAGAGATCAGTTTCTATAGCTTGTATATATAAACCCAACTCGTATATAAACCAACATGTCAAGAACAGATACCAAAAGTTTCACAAATCATCAAAAGTGCTGTGCTTTTTTTTTTCCTTTTTCTTTTGTTGTTGGGGTTTTTTTTAAGCAATTAAAATGAAATGGGGAAAGTCACTTTGCGAGTCTTCTACAAAAACCTCTCTTTCTGGTGAAGATCAGAGCTAAAGTAAAAGTAGGGAAATAACACTGACCAATGTCATTTAATCGGTTTATGTTCCTGGAGGAATTTCATTCTGACTTTGAGAAGATATTAAATATCTCTACTTAAACAGAAAGAAGTGGTAGACCACTGTTACAGGTTGTACTAAGGGGTTAAAATACAACTTGAATTTTGCATAATCTGTGTAAAAAAGATATGCTTGACATTTTGGAATGTCACCTTTCTTTATAGAATTATAGGCAAGATTTCTCCAATAAAACATAAGCCAGTTATAAAACTATAACTTCACATCAAAATTTTAAAAAGTTGTTAAAAAATGTTTGCTTATATACATATCACACAGCAGAGCCTGCATGATCCTGTGGATTGTGGTGCTGATCAGACTCTATTTTAAAACCTGGAAGGGGCTGGGCCGCCTGATCTGGTTGCACAAGTCCTGATATTGAAGAAAGAGAGGAGGAGAGCACCCCTGGTGTAAGCTGCATTTCTATACCTGGTTCTTCAGACTCTGTTTTTACACTCACACATTGGGGTTCACCTTCTGCCTCTGGATTTCCAGGAACACTACTGTTCGAGCTTGAATTGCTTTCTGCGTTTGGAGAGGTCTCCTCCACAGGGTGATACTGTTTAAGTCTTATGTGCCAGGCTAAGCTGCAGACTGCCGACACCGTTTTGAACTGATGAATGACATTTCTAGGGATGAAGTAGATGTCATTGTCACACAACTGAATTCTAGCATAGCGAATGCCTTCCCGTCTCATTTGGTTTAGTTTGGCTTCGTCCACCCATTGAACACACTGAGAGAAGGAAAAGAGTAAAGTTAGTGGTATACTCTGTTTAATCAACTCAGTATCCACCTACTTCCAACACACTTCCTGTCTAAACCGATGTTTAACAGGTAAAACGTGAAAGAGAACTGAACTTTGAAAACATAATTTGTCTAATGTGTACATCTTCGGAGAGGACAGTGATCAGTTGAGAACATTCTATAGTTACAGCTGAAAATAGCAGGTTCCACAGGAG